TTTTAAAACAAGTCAGTAAATATATAATTTTTTTTTACTATCATTCTTAGATTGAATATTTTTAGGTTGTAATGTCATTTGAAGCCACAGATGCACAAAGTATTAAAAAAGCTCAAGAATTCCTCAATAAAACAAACGTTAAAAATGAACTCTTATACATTAAAATTATTGCTGATGCAATAGAACAATTAGAAACTATAGGTTTAAAATTAAACCAAGGTATGGAAATTGTGGAAAAAGTGTACCTATACATCTTTACAAAACACACTAGGAAAGGTGGGGGAAATGGCGTTCCAAAAATTATGTTCTCTATTAAAAAAGAATCCAGGATACGATTTTATATGTTCAGTAAAAAACGTAATTTGCGGTAATGGAAACGCTACCAACAATACATAGGTACATAAATGAAAACGTAGATTGTTCACGTTGTAACTCATTTTAAATACCTGAATTAATATTTTATTTTCTGTTAAATGCGTCTTGCTTTTAATTTGATCACCATTTTTTTGCGATAACTTAGAATTGGTAGACGTAACTATAGATCGTTTATTTATTTAATCATTTTTTTGTTTGTTACACAAAATATTTGTTTCTATAATGTTTTGTTTAATGTTTTTCTTTAAATATATATTTTTTGATGTATATACTTTTTGGTTGAGCAAATATTTTTTCCTCCAGGTTTTTAACCTAAACTAAGATTTTTATAACTTAATTCGTCAATTTTGAGACCTAAAAATATCTCCTTTTATTCATTTTTTAACGACCTAAAATCCGAAGCCTATTTATATGTTACGAATATGTTGCTATGGATAAATCTGAATTTCAAAATTCGCAATTATTTCAAGGTACAGATTCTAGAAAAGGAAAGTCAATAAGAGAAAATTTTTGTAATATGAGTTTTTAAGTTGGCAGACTCATTAATTAGTAGCGTTCGCCCTCTGTTTCCAATTGTTATATTTTGATACAACGATTTTATTTTGAATGAATACAGTACATCTTCAAAAACTATTATTTTCTGCTATTATGTTAAACCCACCAACTAAAAAGATGGTAAATTTTGACTTTTCTTTTTTATAAACTGGAGCATTTAATTGCTTGATTGATTGAATGTCATTAAAACACGAAAAAACGGAAGCTTTAATAAGAAAAAGTTTCAAGTTATAACATATCGACATCTAAATCTTCAAGGCTACTGTTATCATCCTCACTTCCATTCTCACTATCATCCAAATTATTAACATTAATAATAATTTTATTCTGTTCTGAAATATCTAAGTAATCAACAAATCTATTCTAACTTGCAGTGTCGACAAAGGGAAATCTCCTGGAAGACCTTCAGTATCTGAGGAAGTTGTTGATGATTTAAGACGACTTGTACAGAATCCTTAAACATCTTTGACAAGATTTCTCAGCAGTCAGGAGTTCCTATTACAGCATGAAATTGAACAATGGGTCCAAAGTATTGACGACAGAATATTTTTTAATTTAAAAAGAGAGTGAACATGTGCCTCAAACAAAATGGTGAATATTTTCAATATTTACTGTGATGTTTAACCGTAATAAATTTGTTTAATGAATTACTTAGTTTTATTTTTTAATAAGATAGGTCCTTGGCCCTTGGGCATTTAGTAACGTCCAAAACTGAGAGGCGGCACGTTTCCATGACCTACTTCGACGCTATAATCATTTATAGAAACCCTGTATAACCAAACTTTGGCGACATGTTTGAAAATATTTTTGTCTTTTTGTAAATGCACTTTATATTCCTTGTTTTCAAAATAATATACAATATAGTCCAAAATCTTTCGCATAAAGAGCGAACGTGGAAAACAAATTTTCCATCGGACTCCGAGATAGGGTAAAAACCTCGATAATATGAAGAAGCAATTAATTTAATGTAATAAATTTACTTCAGGGAACATTTCAATCTAAATTTTATTCAAACCCAATTATATTCTCATTGGAAATATTTTTATCACTCGCTAGAGGAGGTATAACATTTGCTTCCTGTTTTCTATGATAAATATTCTAAGCCCCTAAAAACAGTTCAGTCAACCAAAAAATGTGACAAAGAAATATCGTAAAAAAAGTAGATATACAAAAAAATTCTCTTAGGTCAAATGCTTTTAACAGGAGTATTAGTGGAAAATAAGTGATACAGTCCTTATTAGGGTTTTTAATAAAAACAAACAATTATTGAACATCCAGGCAAAAACCTTTCTGAGAAAGCCGACAGTCTAAAGTAATTATTAGTTCTCGGCTGATTTTTCTAATTTATGAGGACCACTTCAATTTTATACAAGTCATCCGTCGAATACTATTGCGTTAATTACTATGTTAGAAAATGGTAGATCTGAAATTATATAAGTACTATTCAAATTTCTAGTTCATGCTAAATTAAAAAAAGTCTGTTGCCTAGACGAAAAGGATTTATTATTAAAATTTTGATGAACAATTTACCATGTTTCTGTTTGTCTTAAAATGTTAGTAAGTTTCCAGAGGATTCGGTTTAGCAATTTCAAAGTTAAATCGTAAATTGTTGCTATACCTACAGTTTTCATTTTTTTTTCAAAAAATCTGGATGTCCAGGGTAAAAATTGAACACAAACTCATAAACCACAGCAACACGAGTATAAATATTGTTATGAAATCTGGATATCTAGGGTAAGAACTCAACACGGAGTTATAAACCAGAAGTGCAGGTGTATGTTATCCCGTAAGATTTAAATCACCTTTATGTAGCAAAATTTTATGATAAGGTCATTGGTTTTTTTGGAAAGGGATAAACGCGAACATTTCGATTAACCTTTTATCACGCCTACGATAACCTTAAAACATTTTCAAGAATTCAGAGCATTCGATTTTGCAGTCAGATACGTATGTTGAAAAGAACTAAAATGTAATAAATTATTAATACGAAGTCAGTGAAGGAAAACATGAAAATTAAAGCACATCATAAAAAATAATAAAAAACGTTATGTTAATTTTTAAACATTCCACTCCGAAGTTTCGTCCTGTGTCATTGTCAAATTGCCAATATTGCTCATTTTTGTTGATTGCTTACTGGATCATGTTGAGCTGTTAATAAAAAATAACAATTTCCATCTAAAATTTACGCGTAATATATTTATTAAATAAATATTACTATTGTTTGGTTTAAAATATTATCTCAAAAATTTCTGTCCACTTTATACTAAGTATGTAAGTGTTTAGGGATTATGGAAACCTGCAATAAGAAGGCGAAGCAGTCTAATACCCCTCACCGCTGGGTACGACTATACTTTTGCGTAACTTTTGATAATTCTTTAACAAATAGTTTTCTAGTGAATCTTTTAATAAATTGGCTAGATACAAAGAAGAAAAATAAAAAAAAATCCGACAATAAATATACATAAATACCCAACAGAATAATTCCATTTACAGGATAAATTAATTACGGTTTCGTCAGCAAATAGACTTAGGTAAGCATTAATACATATAGATTTCGTTGAAAATAAAAATTTATCCGGCTAAATGAATAGCTCTTTGGTAATACGGTGGAATAAATGTATTACGTCTTTTTTAGTTTTAAGTTCATGCATAAAACCCATTTTCATTTTTTTTCCTGTAGGCAATAATTTTACAGTTACTTTCACGACGCGCTTTATTGTTTAAACGTGAACTCAGGTTGACCTTGAATAGACCAATTAGAGCTGAGTTTTCCATAAATGTTAGGCTTGGCTCCTTATATTGCAGTGTAATTGAAACAAGACACGGCATGAAAATTCTAAGCGGCGTGTAATTAATGAAAAGCAGTTTATTTTGTTATAGGAAAAGCAAACAGACGGGAATAATTTAACAGAGAACATTTACAAAATGTCGCTACTCGCAAGAAATACGTTAGTAAAAACACCTAATTAGCATTTTCATTAAGAGTTAAATAAAAGTTCCAAACGAAGATTCATTTAAAGTAATAATCACATCAAATAAAAACTGTCTTCTACTAATTTCTTTATTCGTTTTTTCCTTTCAGGTTCAGCAATTTTTACAAATTTAAAAGGAAATGATAATCTGATAATGATCAAAATTGTTGCTGTATCATACTTTTTCTTCTTTCATTAAGTGCAGTTACCTCCATAGATTTGAAGTGACAATTAGGACGGCATCCAATTAGATGTAAGTACTTGGTTTTTTTGACGTTTTAACATTCCTCAGTATTTTTTGTTTTTTTCCTTGAATTTGACACGAAATCACTAAACTCAAACCGCATGATATTGAACAAATAAGTACTAATCAGACGATAATAGTATTAAATATACTATGCTTTCTAATTTAGAAAAAATACTTTCAGATTTAATAACGACTTGAATTTTATTACACCAATTCCTTATTCTATAAAATCTAATAAAGGGCAGTTATGGTTCTATGCGGGCAACTAGTAAGGACATAAATTTAAAAAAATATATTTCTTGACGACAAGGCGTAACAGAGATATTTATGAACCGTGAAATACAAGCACTGAACTTTACGCACACAAGTCATACGGAAATAATTAACTCTAAATCCAAGGAAAGCTTCACATCTAATTATTATTAAAGCAACAGGTAATGAAACACAAAAAAAATCAACCAAACACACCGCTTTAAATTTAGACTGAACGTTCATTATTTCAGAACCGCAACTATGGGAACAAGTTAATAATATTTACTGGTTTAAACTGATGGCTGAAACAAATATAGCATTTACTGTATCTAATAATAATAAATTTATTCAAATCTTAATCGCAACAGTGAAAACACAACACGAGCATGTTCACAAAAACATATTAATAGTAACAAAACGTCTATTTAACATGACCGCCGCCACCATTTTCCCCAGAACATTTCTTGCCGGTATTACTACGAACACAATCGCTTCCATTGATACCAATTCTCGACTCGCTATACCAGCCCGGCGTGTTTTTCCCAACCGTAACTCGTGCTAAGAATAACTTAATAAACTAAATTAATATACAAACACACCTGACATGGTAGGATAAGAAGAGTACGGTGAGTCTATCGACGGATGTTGCCAATCCATCGCTTTACAAGGCGCATGCGAACCCATGTGCAACCTGGATCCCGGAAGCAGTAGGCCGCCATATTGGGCGGCCATATTGTGGTGATGATAATCGTGCACGGCTCTGTGGTGCTGACTGTACTGGTACCACGCGTCCCCCGGGTGGTAATGCTCCGAATAGAGATCAGCAGCCGACGCCCCGTGGTGCCCTGGACCTCCGCCACTGGCGCCGCTGTAGTGTTGACTATCCCAGAAGGAAGGGGGGAAGTTGCGGGCAGACATAGGAGAGCTTCCTGTAAAAAAAATGTGACATTATTATATTATTTCTTTTGTTATTTAATTTGCCGCCTTGTTATTACAGTGAATCAAATTATGTTAAATTTCATTTATCAATTGTGATTTTTTATTTCCAATTTTTGAATATTTCATTCTTTTTAGTGTTCTGTTGAGTGCAAAAATGAGTTTTTGGCAAAGTTATCTTAATAAAAAGTCCTCATACATCATATTCGCGATTTGGTCAGTGGATTTACGCAAACTGAAAATGTCGACAAACTCAAGTGTTAAAGAAAATAGTCAACGCTCTGAGACAAATTTTCTCGACAGTCAATATAGAGAAGAAATATTGCAATGTTCCTCAATTAACTGAACGATGAAGAACTACAGCTTGGTTATTTCCAGCACGATGGAACTATAGCGCATACTGCAGGAACATTTCGTATTCTCGATAACAAATTCTCCAAAAAGACCCTAGACCGAAAATAGAAATATTTAACAAAGAATCACGCAATGATAGGCAATTTATTTAAGTTAATCAACAATTTTTACATAAAACTCTATACATAAGTATGTATTTAGTATTTTTACGGTATTTTATTCTTTTTTAAATTCTTGGCTTAAATTCTGAATTTCTTTTTCTTTTGATGTAAAAAATTTAACTAACTACAATACATGTGTAAATTTTTAATTTTTATTTCTACTTCCCGAACGTAAGCTAAGGAAGTAGCTACTGTAATAGGGCCATCTGGCGAACAAGTACTTTCATGTTTTTTCGACGTTTCATGACCCATATAGAGTAGGAAAAAATAGATTTCCTGTTTCGGTCTATCTGCCTGCCGTCTGCCGTCTCTCCAGATTTTTAGTATACAGATAATCTCCGAAACTACTGCGGCGATTGTGGTCAAATTTAAAAGTATGTTATGAATATCATGTAGCTGGTAAAACACTAAGCAAAATTTGTCTGATCATGATGACGTCCTCTCAAATTTTTTTTTGTAAACCCCACTGTGTAAATTGTATAAAACAATAAGTATACTTGTGATTTATGAACCCGCCTTGAGTTTTTCCCCTAGATATCCAAATTTTTGCTCAAAAAAATCCAAATTTTATAACAAGGCCTTTCCTTTTTTAGCCTTTCTTTTTTGCTACATAATTTATATAGGTTATCACACAAAAAATAAAATTTCTCAAAATCAGGTTTTATAATTTATCAAAGCGGCGGGATTTATTGGACTGAACCTACTTCAGGTAGGGGGAAAATTCTGTCGAAATATCCGCCGATCAATTTTTTTATATTAAGCTGGGTTATTATAGTTGAGATAGTGATATGCGGTAAAAGCCTAATTTAACAATAAATTGTGTCGCAACTAGCATCTTGTCACCTCTCAATTTTTAATGTCAAGTAGAACAATTCTTTGTTTTAACATTTTATAAACAATGTTTATATGGTATATGACTACATCTTTGTTCTCACATAATTATTTATCCCTGCCTAGATTACATATCAAACGCATAACTGGCAATAAATGTAAAAAAAACCTTTTAATGTATAAATGTTATATGTACTTAATTTTATTATAAAATAGAATTTTGCTTGAAAAGCCAAACAGATCATGTAAAACAACTCTCAGAAAAATGATGAAAAAATGCCAATAGTAACACCGAAAGTACACAAAATATTTGCGGACGCGTTTCACCAACCATGGAGGCATTATCTAGATAAAACTAATTTAAACAAAATTTGGGTTCGCCTATACATATAATGCTAACGTTACATATATTATTATATCGCACATAGTGTTTAAAAAGATTCCAAAAAATGCTAAATCTATTGTAATTTTTACATTTTTTTTTAGAAACATGAAATTTTGGGTTATGATAAAATAATAATCTTTGGTATCTACTTACTACATAAACAGAGCATAAAAGAATTCATTCGACGTTAAAAATGGTTAGACATTTTAGTGTGACATTTAAGTATAATTAGTTTAAAATAAAATTTCTCTAACATTTATCTCTCTCAACCAAAATTTGAAATTTTTGAAAATTTTAAGATCACGGAATAAAATTAATTAATATGTTGCATTTAAGTTTTAGATGAAGATTTTATATCATACTGGAACTATACACAGGGTGGTTCAGAACACTACTGCATCATTTTAATGACGCATTATATGGCAAAAAAATAAGTAAATATTGCTAATAAAAGACATGACTATCAGAGAATCTTAAAATTTCTTGAATCATCAAGACCGGTTTCCACCATTAAAATTGAGCAGTAGTGCTCTGAATCACCCTGTATATGTAACTCTGAAGTACTATTATATATTTAAATTATTATATCTTTTCTGCTTATGCTAAAGTACAAATTACGTATTATTTATATAGGTATATCTAATGTATCACTGATCTGGAAATGATTAGCATTCAGGCAAGACTTCTGTCATTGCGGGTACTAAGACCAAGTAATGATATCTATTCATGAGAATACTAAGAAAGTTAAAGGGCGTTCGCAATCTTATTATAATTCCAATATTTTGTATTTTGCCTTTTTTTTTCTTAAAATACATAGTCATCTTTTCACAACAAAAAGCTGAAAACATAGTTAAAATTGTATATTTTTGCAAGGAAATATGGATTTTGCAATTATGGTGCGGAGCATAATTGCAAAATCGATGTTTCCTTATACAAATTTTCCATTTTAAACATGTTTTAAAGAAGAAAAGAAGTCTACACATATTAAAACAAAAAGGTAAAATGTAAACCGATTGAAATCGAAACGGATGGGTGGGGCTTACATTTTGCCTTTTTTTCCTAATATACCTAACTACGTAGTCGTCTTTTCAAAACAAGAAACTTAAACATGTTTAAAATGGTAAATTCTTGTAGACAAATATGGATCTTGCAATTAAGCTCCGCCCCCTTGGGTCACGGCGAATAAAAATATCATCACAATTGAGATAGGGCGAGTGGTCGAGGCTTACATTTTACCTTTTTTTCATATTTCACATGGTAGTTTCTCGTAGGAAAATAAGGATTTTACAATTAAGCTCCGCCCCTCGGCTTACGACGAATAAAAAAAAAATCATCAGAAATGAAATAGGGTGGGTGGGCGGGGCTTATGTTTTGCATTGTTTTTGTTAACATAGATAGCTATCTTTTCGCAACAAGAAACTTAAAAAATTTTCCATTTTAAACATGTTTTAAGTTTCATGTTGTGAAAAAAAGTCTACACATATTAAAACAAAAAGGCAAAATCTAATTCGCCGTGCATTAAGGGGGCGGAGCTTAACTGCAAAATACTTATTTCTTTGCGAGAAATTATAGAAACTTAAAACATGTTTAAAATTGTTTGAACAAACGATACTCAAAAACATTTTTAATTTCTCGTATAGAAATAAGGATTTTTTGTTAAGTTCCGCCCCCTGGCTCACGACGAATAAAAAAAACATCACAGTTGAGACAGGGCGGGTGGGTGGGGCTACATTTTGCCTTTTTTCTTAACATGTGTAGATTTATTTCGACAACAATAAAATAAATCTTTTGTGAAAACATCACCTGTCATATGACAACATATCAGACTGTTCAAGAAGCGTACGGATGATATGACTTGTTCCTAACGTAGTAGATTTTCGAATTCTTCTTCTAGGCTTAAAAAATTCAAGTTCTCAAAATTATTTGGCTTTAGACCTACACACTAGAGATAATTAAAGACAGAATTAAAATTTTATTATTATTATTATTAATCACATAAAAAAAATAGCGGCAAAAGTACACGTAATTTGAAAAAAAAAATGGTCTCAGTCATTTGGGCAGAACTTCCCTCGCTCTGAGTTTTGATTGATTTGATGTTAGTTGAATAGTGCCAAGTTAAAGAATATAACTGATAGGTAATAATTTTGGAACATAATATTTCGTTTCCTACGGTAAATTTTTAAAAATATGACAGGATTATGTTTAAAAATAGGAAGTTATACTTAGAACAAAATTGAAAGAGGGTAACGCAATAATACTCTTTAAATATCCGTTTAACTTGTCTTTAAACTTAGCTTTCTCAGCTGTTACCGAATCCCAACTAATATAAGAAAGTTGAGAAACAAAATTTGAGATAAATCTATGCTTTTTGGTCCCGAGGTGGTAAATTAATAATTTTTTTCTAGTTTATTGGAAAATATTACATTGGTGTACTTTGATAAACTCATTTAGGTAAGTAATCTACTTTTTATAGGTTTAAAATGTTTATATTCATTTTACTAGGTAGGTAAAAATAATAATAAAAATGAACTGAGATATTACAGTATTTTCAGTTAAAACAACAGTAAATAAGGCATTTTATTCAAAATTTCTACGAGTAAATACGATTTTTAACGAAATATATAACGTCATACAAACGTCAAAAAAAGATTTAAATATTTCATACCTGTCTCTTAAATCTTAACAAAAATGTGTAAGTTTAGTATGAAATTTTTAAACGGAACAACCGTATAAGAAAAAATAATGAATTATTACTAAATAAATACAGGAGCATAAAACATGCTTTTGATGTATTCACTATGATCACAAGACCGATTAATCATACACTAAAGTTCAAAGTTTTTATAAATCGAATTGATAAATCTAATTTTTCTATTTTAGTTTTCTGTTAATTTGGCGGAAAGCAAATCTACGCCCAACTTTGCTATTAACGATGCCATTTAGGGGCAATTTCTAACATTATCAGTTAAAGCATTATTAAAATTTGCTGTTCCTGTGTGGGTGATTTACGAGCGTATTATGTCACCTCTGATATGGGGCTATAATATATGGTTGGTCACGCAAATTTTAACTTTCGTGGCAAAAGCAATTAGAGGGGTTGCGTATGTTTGAATTTTTAACAGAATTCTCGAAATTACAGCGACAAGTTAGCTTAGTTCTGTCACCAAAATGTTTATTGCTAATTTTCACAAATTAATAAGGCAACACGCTCAGCAATATTTACTATTTTATTGTAATATGGCAGTTAAATCTAAGTGAAATT